CCCATGTGAATCAAATTTGGGGCAACAAGACTGGAGGGTGCAAGGTGTCCATGACTTCCCCAAGCGATAATTCTCCTGACTCATGTTTCTGAAGCAAATGCCATCTCAGAGACGGAGGCTTGACCTCTGGCAGGAGTCATCTAGCAATTTATTTGACTTAGGGCACCAAGACAGTGCCATAAAATCTTGAGCAGAAGAGGGCAATGTTGAAGTTACCGAGCACCAGAGAATGTGGTATTTACATCTAAACCACAGAGGTCTTGAGCAAGGAGACGGACGCACAGGAGCTTTTCCTGCAGTCTTGGTACACTTTGTACCCAGCCCTATAGAGGGTAAGAAAACAGAAATAGTTAAGTGTGCATTTTTAAAAGACATTACAGTCTCGAAAACGCAGTTGCACATCTGCTGTGTTATTTTCTGATACTCCTGAAGCCAGAGTAATGTATCTCCTGTATTACTAGAAGGCTCCTGAAAGCACCAGTCATCCCCCCTAACTTCAGGTGCCTGCAATAGTAACAACTCCAGTCACCTCAGCCCCCTTTTCCAGGCCAGGGGAGAGCTGGGCACCTTCACCAGAGATCCATCAGATGCACTGCACACATCTGTTTTAGGATAAGATGACTTACTTTCTCCGTGACTCTTTGGTGGGATCATTAGTTCAGCTGCAGATATCTGTGCTCACACATACCCATATCCAGTACCCTTGAACACTGGTACAGATCCAGAGGCAACTTGTGCTGAAGTTGTGCTCGTGCAACCAAGATCAGACTAGAGCTCTTGCTTTGTGACACTGGAGAGGGGAGTTACTCTCTGAAGGAGGTGAGCGTTCCTGCTCTGCTGGTCCAGCTGCTTGTAGACACTGGGTGGCATTGCTTGCAGAGCCAAGACTCGGATCTGCATACATTGCTGTCACTATTAGGAGACTAGAAGTCAGCCTTCACCATGATCGCTACGTATATAAATAGGGCAAAAAAAAGTACAGTTGGGATACCAAATGTTGACATACCAATCCTCAGCAAGATCTCTCTACAAAAGTGAGAGGTGATACTGACTTTTGCACCCAGGACTTGGCAAGGACATGGCAGTGTGCAAGGACAGTCACTGATGTGCAAAGGGGGCTGATTCTGGATGTGACTGAGTTTTTAGTTTCTTCTCTTCTGAGGCATCTCAGCTCCACTTGGAGAGATGTATCACCATCTGGTTCTTCCTGCCTCTCGATCCATCTCTGGGTGCTGACCCATCCCTTCAGCATTTGCCAGTACTGCTAATAGGCTGTGACAGCAGCCACTGCTCTATCCCAACCCATGCCTAAAGGGCCTCAGATTTTCCTTTTCTACAACTGCTCATCCTCTTCCCCAGTCCTGGCTGGGATCTTTCCATGAGTAGCTCACAAAAGACATCTGCAGCCTCAAACAGAAAAGCCAGAAGAGGGTTTCTATGTTCTCATGAGGGAGCTCCCTTGATGTTCCTATGCGGCATCGGTCCACACCATACTGGGGCAGACCCAAGTGCAGTTCCTTGCCTGTAAGAAGGCACATCCAGAATCTGAGGGAGAGGGTGTATAGACAGCACAAGTGTGCTGTGATGTTTCTCTCAGTGGATCTAAGCTCAGTTTCATTCTGTGATTGTCTCAACTTCCACAAAAACCCTGAGACAATAAATTCACAGTTTAGTTATGTCGTATGAAAATATACTGTAATTTATTCTTTTTAAACTTGCAGTCTGCTCTATTCATCCCTCTATCCTTGTTCTTCAGTCACCCCCTCCACGCCGATCTCCTCTCTCTCCAAATTGGCCAGTCCATATCAATTTAGTCTCTCCCTTTTGGAGATACAGAAGTGAGAACTGGGTATTTTTTTCAAGACGAAGGCCCATCATGGATTTATGGAGTGGCATAATAATGTTTGCAGTTTTCCTCTCTGTTCCTTTGCTGACATTTGATTGCTTTCACTTTGCTAAGCATCGAACTGCTCTTTGCAGGAAATAACCGTAAGGACTCCAAGATCTCTTCCTGAGTGGTACTAGCTAATTCTGAACCCATCATTGTTTGTGTCTATAGCTGGGGTTGTTTTTCTGTGTGTATTGCTTTGCATCTATCACAGAATCACAGAATGTCAGGGATTGGAAGGGACCTCAAAGGATCATCTAGTCCAATCCCCCTGCCGGACCAGGACCACCAAGATCAGATCACACAAGAACGCGTCCAGGCGGGTTTGGAACATCTCCAGAGAAGGAGACTCCACAACCTCTCTGGGCAGCCTGTTCCAGTGTTCTGTTACCCTTACTGGGAAGAAGTTCTTCCTCATGTTTAAGCGGAACCTTCTATGTTCCAGCTTATATCCATTTCCCCTTGTCCTATCATTGGATGCCACTGAGAAGAGCCTGGCTCCATCCTCATCACAGTCACCCTTTCCATATTTATAAACGTGAATGAGGTCCCTCCTCAGTCTCCTCTTCTCCAAGCTAAAGAGACCCAGCTCCCTCAGCCGTTCCTCATAAGGGAGATGCTCCACTCCCTTCATCATCTTTGTGGCCCTGCGCTGGACTCTCTCCAGCAGTTCCTTGTCCTTCTTGAACTGAGGGGCCCAGAACTGGACACAATATTCCAGATGCGGCCTCACCAGGGCAGAGTAGAGGGGGAGGAGAACCTCTCTCGACCTACTAACAACACCCCTTCAACACTGAATTTCTTCTGCAGTATCGTTGCCCGTCACTTAGAATGATGGCACACTTCTGCAGTTCCTTACCACCAGGTTTTACTTTCAGTACTTGACATTACTTTGTCTGATGACTAATTTTGTCATGTCACCGATCATTTGCTCTTTCAGGTGGTTTTTGAACACCGTGAGCAGCTCAAACTTCACCAGTAGCTTCCCACTCCCTGTTTCCTGTGTCTTAACCAGTTGGTAACCTATGAGACTTTTGCTCTTACCTGCAATAATACCGGGAACTGAGAGATAAATAGCTGATACTGTTGAAAATCCAAGCATGGAGACACATAGGCACCATGGAAACAACTCCTCCACTGTCTGGGGCGATGCCTGAAGCTGGGGTGGTGAGCTGCTGCTGGCGCCCACCTTTCTGGCAACCCCAAAGGGAGTTTATGGTGACAAGTTCAGATTTGGGCATCCCCCCTTTAGCTATCTAAAATGGGTTGGAAATTTTAAATTCCTAGTTTTCTCTAAGTCCCACTCTTTGTGTGCTAATTCCTGGTTTAGTGGAGCCTCTGCCAGTTTGCCCGGTGCAGACTGAGGAGTAATACAGCGCTTCCACATCTGAGTTTCTTCAGGGTGGATACCATCTGGTCCTAGTAAATTGCTATTATTTCTCAGTTTTTCTGAAAAACTCTTCATCTCCTGCTTCAGTTTAAGAGTCTTTCCAATGATTAAGGGATTGGAGCATCTGTCCTATGAGGAGAGGCTGAGAAAGCTGGGCTTATTTAACTTCAAAAGCGATGGCTCAGAGGGGTTCATCAATGTCTTTAAATACCCCTTGGCAGGAGGAGTACAGAAGATGAAGCCAGACTCTTCACAGTGGTGCCCAGTGAAAAAGCAAGAGGCAACGGGCACAAATGGAAATACAGATTTCCTTTAAACATAATTATTTTATTTTGTTTTATTTTTTACTGTGAAGGTGGTTGCCAGTGCACAGGTTGCCCAGACAGATTGGAAATATCCAAACACCCAACTGGATACAGTCAGCAACCTGCTATAGGTGACCCTGCTTCAAGCAGGAGGGTTGGCTGGATGGTCTCCAGAGGTGTCTCCAGGCTCAGCGTTTTAGTGATACCACCATGTAACGTAGGCTGTAACACTGAGACACTCCCCAAGCTCTGCAGTGAATATTCCTGCAAATATGAGCTGGTTTGCGGTGGCCTTGGCTTTCTTGGGCACTCTCTGCACACCTTGATCATCTTTTAGTTTTATAGGCTCTCTGGTAGGTTTCTGGCTTCTGGAAAAGGCTTTATTATTGGTTTTTATGCTTTTCAGAATATTGCTTCTTAAAATCTTTTTGGCATTACCATGACTGGATTTTCTGCTGTTTTCTGTTTTTCTCATTTGGACACAATTTCCACTTTCTGAAGAATGTCATTTTGCTCCTAATAGTCTCCATTACTCTGCTATTTAACCACGAGGGCTCCTTTCTGGTCCTTTTTATAGGTGATATATATTTATTCTAAGCCTCTAATATTGTTCCTTTATGTAATTTCCTTGCCACCTGCAAGCAGTTTGTCTTTTTGGCGGCTGCTTTTAATTTAATTTTAGCAAGTTCCTTGTCCTGTCTTTGGATGGGATAAATCATCTTCCAGCATGCCTGCTAACACCGTCAGCCTGGATTACACGCCTCACTTTAAAATGAGGGTAGTTTTAGCCCACAAACCTGTGTGTGACCTGCCCCATTCCTGATATTAAAAAATGATGTTTTCTTCCCTGGAAACGACAACATTGTATAGAACTCCAGCTGAAGAAACTGAGACTTGTCTTCATCCATTTCACCATCTCCGTATAATACTGCTTAATTTTCTGACAGATATGTCTAATGAGTTGCATGAATAAATAAAAATTTGGTGTTAAAGATCTTTGTAAAACCATCTGTTTGACTTTTTTGCCCAGTAACTGATACTGAGGGTCCTCACCGTTATTCTGTTAAAAATGAACAAACATTTTCCTTTGAGCTTGGTAGGTCTGGGGAAATAGCTCTACTTCATCAGCTGTACATTACTGTAACGAGAAGGAGAGTATCATCACCAAGAACCCAGACAACCCGATAACAGCTTGCTCCATTCCTGGTGATTTGTATTGATTATTTTCAGCTTGAAAGTGTACTTGATGTGACAGAATATTTGGGGCTGTGAGTTACACACAGGGACTACTGGGGCAAGTACCAACTTTTAGGGCATAGCCTTGACAGGTGCCATTCATTCATGTGATGGATTTGGTGCCTGCTCAGGGCAGGTGTAAATGGAGCTTTGTCCCCTGTGTCGCTTTTGTCCCTGCCAGAACATTCACCTGGTGGCCAAGTGGCTGAGTTCTCTGGAGAAGAAGCTGGAGCAGCACAGTGAGGGCAGCCACCAGGATTTCCGCGTCTTCATCAGCGCAGAACCGGCTCCCTCCCGTGACGGCCACGTCATTCCCCAGGGAATCCTGGAGAACTCCATCAAAATCACCAATGAGGCCCCAACCGGGATGCACGCAAACCTGCACAAAGCCCTCGACAACTTCAACCAGGTAGGAATGCAGAGGGTCCCACACCAGTGACTGGTTGACGGGTCAGCTTGGAGCTGCTGAAGCCCCAGGTAGAGTGTGATGTGTGTGGGCATTGCTGCTCCCAGTCATCAGACTTGCAAGTCCCTTTGTGTCATGTAGTTTCTGGATCCAACAAGCCCGTCCTGTTTTCTCCAGGAGCTGGGCACAGATCTCTTTCCAAGCACTGATTTTCCCAAGAGGAGACTCAGGTAATCCTGACCAGCCTCTTTCTTGCAAGGGGTCACAGCACACCAGACTTACTTCTGCCCAGTCTAATCATTTTCTCACCAATATATGATCCTTAGAAAGGCTATTTTGTTACAGAATCAAACTTCTGAATGCAGGATTTGGTAAACTTTTGTCGTATTTCCACTTGATTTCTCTGTGTGTCACTCGTTTTTGGGCCAGTGAGTGACATATTGCATCTAACCCCCAAAGACACGGAATGGCAAGGGGATTAAACCTTTCTTTTTTTGCCCTTCTATTTACCCAGGGTTAGAGGTTCAGAACTACTGGTATGGTCACATCCCACATCACTCTTCAGAGCAGCGTAGGGGCACGTGGTGATGTGTGCCCAAAGGCCCTTCAGCTCAAAACCTTGCTGACATCAGAAGTGTTGCAAATTAGAGCTGAAATCTCCCTGCAGGGAGGACTTGCTTTGCCAAACGAGGCAAAAGTAGGCCATCTTGAGAATTACTGGCCCACGAGAAGAATAGCTGATGGCAGGTTGCTCGTTGCTTTTATTGCATGGTGACCACACACATTCCTATCCCGGCTCCAGCAGCCACCATCCCCGCTCCTTGTTGCTGTAACTGCAGCCGAGCAGGAGACACAACAGCAAAGCATGTGGAAGGGACAGGAAATACTCTTTTCTTGGTGCCGCAGAGGGTGTGGATCAACGTGTGAGTTGTCGTAGTGCAGCGATTGAACGAGCCCACTCGGCAGCTCCGGGCACCGCAGGGCAGGAAGCTGCTGAGAGCAGCGGGGCACGGAGCGAGTGCCAGCAGCTCCGCAGGGAACAGCCTGTGTGCCAAGGCATGCTGGAGCCCGGTGTGTCTCGCTGCTGGAGGCGGCTGTGCTACGTCTGACCCCGTTTTCCACCTGGCACAAAAGGTTAAGGGCTAACGGCTCCCGTTTGTGATGATACCTTTCCTAGAGACACAGACCATTGCCTCCTGCTGCCCTGAACGCTCATTACCTTCGTGCACATGTTGCCATTACCTTGGCACGCTGAGCTCCCCCAGCAAGAGCCTGGCTCTGAAACCTAGAGCAACCAGAACAGCCTGAAAGTCCTTTCACTCCATGGACTGCCTTTTTGAATCACTAGTGCTGCAGTTACTATGGCCTCTGATGATGACTGTGCCTGGAAGACGCAGGGCAAACCTTGCAGGATTACTCTCCTTTCTCCCCATACACCCTCTTGTCATTTGGGACCAGGCAAGAGCAACCCCAGCTGATGGTGGACCCCAAGCACTAGTTCATGGGGCAGAGAAATGGGGGCAGCTCACAACTATTTTTGCACGTAGATGTTGGTATGGAGGGAATCTCAAGTGCAGGAGCTAACGTGGCTGAGTAGGTGGGCGGGGAGGCACCACGCAAGGATTAATGAGAGTAGACAGGGAAGATGATTCCATTTTTATCTACTGTAATTCATCATCTTGAACTCCACAAAATGTCCTGGAGTGCAAGGGAGGGGAGAACCTTCACCCCAAGTAATGTTTTCCTCCTGCCTCTCTTCATTTCAATCAGATAGCAATTAACATTTTCTAAATTGCTGGAGTATTATAAAATGTCTCTTATCAGAAATCCTGGAGTGAGTGGGTGGTGCCCCTTTACACCTCATTTCCTTCTTTGTACAGAATGGATGTTCAAATTTAGCTTTCAGCTGAAAGCTACAAAGAAGGCCCATTATTCTGTGTGGGGAATATTGTTCTGCTTTGTAGCTGAAGAAAAATGCACAACTAAATAGACAGATCGAATGAAACTGAGCTGGGTTCTTACTCAGTGTTCATTCAGGGAAGCTCCCCTTGAAGTCCAGGAACGTTTTCTAAAATGAGAAAAGTGCTCAGCACATACTTGATAATGAAGGGAGCTTAGAGTGCTGTCTAATGAAGGGGAAAACAGGGTTTGGGATGTTCTTGATCATCTTACGCAGTTAGTCAACGTTCTGCACGCTTTAGAGTAATGAATTCTCCCTTTTCAGCACAGACCCTGAGCTCCGTTACGCTGCCCAGCTGATCAGAGGGCTAACGTTGTCTTTTTCTAAGATAAAGATAATGAAAGAAAGGCACGCAGGTGCCTTTTGTAGTCTTCACCACTTAGCAGAGTGGACTTAAAGAATCTGTCCCTGGGGTGGAGGATGGAGGGTCTGGTGTAACTACTCCCTCCTAACTCAGCCACTTGCTCTGCTGTGCAGGTCAGAGCCACTGTACATTGGATGTGCTTTTCCTGGGAAGGGTTTGCAGGGGTGTGGGTGAGTGCGCAGGCAAGCCCTTCCCAACATGTTCATCTGGGTCTGGGGAGGTCTGGGGAGATCTGTACTGTTGGCTGTGGAAGATCCCGTTGGGTTCTTGCCCTGGGGCAGGGGATCTGCTGCCCAGCCCCCTCGCTTTCGCCAGCGCGGTGCAAGGGCCGGGGCTGGACAAGCCTCCGCCTGCCTTCAGCCCCAGAAGGGGGTTCAGCTCCTCCTGTGGGAGCTGAGCTTCGGCCTCGTGCCCTGCACACAGCTCCAGCCCGTCATCCCTTCTGCTGCTCTGCTCTCCCGTACCGCTGACGTAACGCTGCTGGGTACTGGTCTGGCTGCCCGGGCACCCCCTTGGTGCCCACCTGCTCAGACAGCGCTCCCAGCATCCCAGAGTTCTTTGGAGACGGGTTTTCTTTGTTCATTTTCATTGATTAAATGACTCGGGCTCTCACCCTTCCACCTCCAACATCACAATTCTGCCTATTTGATTGTAGATATCCAAACTTTAAGTGCCACCTGGAAGTTGGGAAAGGAAGAACCTGTTGCTGTTCTTGCCTTAAAGGGCTGCATTAGATTTTTTTTTTGCAGGTGTTTGATCTCCCCTGCTTGGATTTTTAGCAGTTTCTCACATCCTTGCTTCGGTGTGCTGCACTAGGTCGTGCCGTCAGCGGATACGCGGCTGTGGCACGTGGCTGGGCTGGCTTGGAGCAGAGGGTCACAGCAGCGGGAGCAGAGTCTTTCTGGGACAACTCCCTCTGGGCTGCTTCATCCCTGCAGCTCAGAGAAACGCTGCCCTAAGGAGACCTTTTGTTGTCAAGAGGCAGGATGGACTTTAGTTGTTCCAAGTACAATCCTCCTTGGCAGGAGCCTGGCTTAGGGCCACGGTCCCAGTCCCACTGCTGGCACGCTTGCCCTGAGTGGTGCCTCTCTACATCTCTCTGTGTGGGATGTGGGGCACATGCAGGTGGGGGGTTGTTCGGTGGGTGCACATGTCCTTCCCTTCTTGGCTGTCAGTGTGTGTTCCTGTGTGAAGCCACTTTGAGTTGGAAAGGAAAATATTCATTCAGAAAATAGGCATCAGAATTTGCTGATAAACTTACAATGCCAAGAAACTAACTTAGAAAATTAGTGAGGGTGTATATTATTCAGAAATGAACTGATTGGGCAAATCAGCAGAGTCGCTGTGGGGAGCTGCTCTGGCACCAACCCGACTCACTGCAGAGCAGCAGGTCTTATCCCACAGGGGCTGTTCCTGAGGCAGGGAAATGCCAGGGGAGCGGAGAGACCCCCCAGGAGCCAGCAGCTCTTGAGGGAGATGCTGACGTGGCCTGGGCATTGCCAGAGCAACAGTGGCCACCTCACTCCTACAAAAAGGAGCCTGGAGAGAGCTAGTGACCAGGACAGCTGCCAACAGAGCGGGAAAACAGGCCGTGGGGCATCAGCCAGGGTGTGAGGTGGCAATTTGTGCAGGATGGGCGCAGTCACCCTGCCAGCTCAAGAGGTGAGTTCCATTGGTGGCCATCACCCTCCATGAAGGAGCTCAGCTGTGGCATCCACCTGGCAGAAAGCAAAGTCCTCTGCACTCAACAGAAGGGATGTGGCAACCCAGACAGAGCTCCCACCAAAACACGTATCTATCCACGTCCCAGGCTGCAGGGAATGCCAGAGCCATTCCCTGGTAAAGGACAGCAGTGGTGAGGCATGACCAGGTGGACGATCTGCTCAGCACGGTGGCAGAGCTGCAAGAGGAAGTCGAAAGGTTAAGGAGCAAGATGATAACAGGTTGCCCAGAGAGGTGGTAGATGCCTCATCTTGGAAACATTCGAGGTCAGGTTGGACAGGGCTCTGAGCAACCTGATGTAGTTGAAGATGACCTTGCTTACTGCAGGGGGGTTGGACTAGATGACCTTTAAAAGTCTGTTCCAACCCAAACTGTTCTATGATTCTATGAAATCTCTTCACTCCTATCCAAAGTGCGGTGTATTTGGGGAGCCCTGAGAGTCACTGAGACCAGGGGCAGTGTGAATTTACACAACCCTGCCTCTCTGCCTGTTTTGCAGGATACGCTGGAGATGTGCACCCGGGAGAGCGAGTTCAAGAGCATCCTCTTTGCTCTCTGCTATTTCCACGCCGTGGTGGCAGAAAGGCGCAAGTTTGGCCCCCAGGGCTGGAACCGTTCCTACCCCTTTAACACTGGAGACCTCACTATCTCTGTCAACGTGCTCTATAACTACCTGGAGGCCAGCTCAAAGGTGAGCACATCACAGGTGGGCTGTTGGGTGGCTTTTAACCACCAGCGATGGACTGATTTGTGCTGAACCTCCTGGGAAGCCTCCTTAAATGCCATTTCCCTGGGTTTACAGCTTCATGGTTTGGTGTACCTTTGTGGTGGGATGGGAAGCTTCAGTGCTACCCACATCTGTAGCAGCTTACAAATCATAGCAAATAGTGCCTGTGGTCTTTATTCAATGAAAATATATAGTGGGCTTCAGTTTAACAGAGCTTAGACTAAATTTGCATTTCAGTGGGAAACGGCATGTAATCTATGTCGTGATCCAGTTTTCCTTGGGCAGGATTTAACTACTTCCTAATGTTTATTTACTTAGAAACCAGGAATTGTAAAGTGGAAGCACTCACTGTGCAGATCAGTGCTTAGTGCTGCAGCCTGCAGCTCGACGACATGGCTGGTGGAGCTCTGGCTGTCTGAACTCCTTCATGCCCTCCTGGTTCATTCTTCAGGTCCCATATGATGATTTACGCTACCTCTTCGGTGAGATTATGTATGGAGGTCACATTACAGATGACTGGGACAGGCGGCTTTGCAAAACCTATTTGGAAGAATTTATTAAGCCAGAAATGCTGGAGGGAGAACTCCTCCTTGCTCCAGGATTCCCCCTCCCGGGGAACATGGACTATAATGGCTATCATCAGGTAAGCTCTTTGTTTTCTTGCATTATTTATACACGTAAATGTAATGTCTTCCATAACTGCCCTATAATGTCTCTTCGGAGGCAGTGAATAGGACTGCAGTGTTTCAGCACACCTCCTGTTATTTCCCATTATGTTCTGTTTCTATAGATGCTTCAGCATTCCCTTGGATGAGCCAAGCCTAATGGTAATTTGCTACTTCATCATGGGCTCATTCTGTTCATGCACGAGTAGAACAACTGTATTGGTTCTTGAGACTTGAGTGGGGCTCCTGGAAAATTACATCCACGTACTGTTAGCTAAAATGGCCCTTTCAAGCTCCTTTTATCATCAGTTTTGATGAGAAACACTGAAGGGTCTTGTTGATCTACTTACTGATCTCATCTGTTCTTTGTACACAAATGCAGTAGCAGAGATAGGCATATTAGGCTGGTTTTGTTCATAAAATTTAACTACTGGAAGCTAAATTCCCACAAGAGATTTCAGGATATTGATGCTGAAATGCACAGTGGATAATTGCTAGAGAAGGTCCAGGCCTGAGATGTGTAACTGAGCCAAACTTTAGCAATTACTAAATGTACACAGCAGGAGTAGCAGCAGTTCTGCAAACAACTGTACGCTCCTTTCTCCTGTCGGTTCACTGGTGCTTCAGCCACGCGCAGAGTTGTAAGCCATGAACTCTGTGGGCAAAGTGCCTTGGCCTTTGTATCAAACCTGAACCCAAATTTCTCTGTGCAGTACATCGACGACGCCTTGCCTCCGGAGTCTCCTTACCTGTATGGCCTCCATCCTAACGCTGAGATCGGATTCCTTACCCAGACCTCAGAGAAGCTCTTCCGCATCGTGTTGGAGATGCAGCCCCGGGACACCTGCACGGGTGAAGGCGGAGTGGTGACCAGGGAGGAAACGGTGAGAGTGGTAGAGGAAGGAGCTGCTGAATTTTGATTCCTGTCTTATTCATAAGTAGCCCTGTCTACATCAGGTTTGTCTCACAGCTGCTTATTATAACGTGTTCTGCCTTTGCCGGATGCAAACCGAGCGTCTAAAACCACTAACCTCATATTATGCAGAACATCACCATGGTGGGATGTAATTGGAGTATTGTCAGTAATAGGACAGTGGCTTTTAATTACCCCCTGAACTGCAGTGCCTTCATTATTATCCTGTGGAGACGTTGCAAATAAACCTTCTGTGGCCTCCACTGTCTCTGAGCCACCGGTCCCCGCGCACCATGCTGTGGCTGGCATACCAATGGGCTCCCTGAGCACCATCTGCCAGGTGCAATGTACCCAGAGCTCAGCCCACCTCTTACTGCTGCCACCAGGTCCCATCCAGCTCCCAGGCTCCCTGGGGCCTTGTAATTCCTTATTTCCAGCTGAAATCCTTCTCTATGCCTATGTACCGGGCTGATCTGAGCTCTTCCTCTTGAAACTCACAGCTCATTAAAATCTGGCCCAAGCATTCATAACAGGATCTGAAACCAGCCAACACTTGCTCAGTTTTGTTTCTGCAGTCTTACAGTCCCAGCTCTGTGTTTCAAGCTTTGGGAATTAATGAATGGCTAATGGAAAGCTTATATGAAGTCTGTGGTTTCACACATGCTTCCTGTGGCTTGGTGTGGAGTTGGGGAACTTACTACCTCCACCTAAGGGGCTTTTGAAAGTGCTCAGCATGTTCAATTTTCAGTTCATACTGGAGTTTGAGGTGAGGGGAATAATTCAGAGGTAGCAAAGCCAAGGGTGATGCTCAAAGATAGCCAACATGACTACCTCTTCTCCCCTCCTGGTCTTTTCTCTATTGAAATGCAATTAAACTCCCTGGCCAGAGAACCAAAGTTACCAGTGAGTGACCAGCGGTGGTATCACAGGGCATGGCCACTCGGCAAACTCCTGGTGACGGCCAAGAAGACTGTCACAGGAGCACAGAATCCTTGTGGCTTTTGTGATCTCTCTGAGAAGAAAAGCTGCATGAAAGCAACCTGCGTGTGGCCCCACCGCACCCCGCTGTGCCTGGGGAGATGCTCCCACAGCTAATGTTCTCCTGGAGGTGATCTCAGTCATTATCTGAGCTGTGGCTGGCACTGGCTGTATCCCTTTCACTTGGTCCTTGAATGAGAGTGAGTTAAGAGTCGTCTCGTAGCTGCTCTATTTGAGGGTTTCCAGCCCCTGGTTTGGCTGAGGTGGTTTTAGGGAGCTTGCAGGGAAACGGTGAGCCTCTCATTTTCCTGTGGCTTTGACAAGTCCAGTTACTCCCACGGGTTTCGGAGGCCACATTACAGCAAATGAACTGTGAGTGTTGTGAAAAAATCGGAGCCAAAGGGATTTGCAAGGGAATTTCAAATTAGAGGATATTTCTGTACGGCGCCTGAGGTGCAGCTGAAGAGCTTTTCCAGCTGAGCTTTAGCTTTAGCCAGCGAGCTGGTTGCAGTAACAGCCTGCACATCATCACCTCTTCGGAACGGCTGATGCGAGTGTGGGGGGTTTGGATGAGCAATGATGGGAGGAAACTGGAGTACAGAGTCCAAAGTATAAATGTTGGTGGGCATGGCAATAAAATTACAGCTTCTGCCACGGGCTGGCAGCTGGCACTGGCCCTGGCACTGGTGTGCCAGGCTTTGCACATCAGATCATAGAGTTGTAACTGTGCGTTATGCATTCCTGAAAAATCCTGAAGTAGAAGTCTTGCTTGGGTTCCAGCACAGAAGGAAACGAAAGCATTATGTGAGATACTTCCATACCAAGTTGCCTAACGGTCCACATAAAGCTGAGACATACAGCTGACCCCATGAAGATTAGGGTCTTCATGGCTCATCGTCAATCAGCAAAGTTTTTGTCTGTGTTTTTTTTTTTTATTTTTCAGACAGTAGAAACATCCTGTTGCATGGGAGCTTTCCCTGTTTAGTATTTAGAGATACAAAGCACTGTTTCCAAATCAAGCTGTAATGTTGACCAGAAAATAATTTTGTGTCGTTATGCTTTTCTTCCACGGGTCTATTAGTTCAGAATGCCAAATTCAGCTTAAAATTCAATTTTATATAATCACCTCTCTCTATCAACATACCACAGAAAAACAGCTCATAAGCTCAGTTGTCCTGAGGCTCAGCTGAGGCTGTAGCCCCATCCGTCTTCTTGCATTGACTCTGACCTTCGGAGAAGTAAGAACACAGGCTAAAGACCCAAGAAGAAAGGGGACTGCTACATGTCATGGTGACATTTTTAAGCCATCACTTTGAAAACTTCTCATCTGACATTAACTTTTGTAAGCATTTGAATTTTAATAGGATGGGGCAAGTGCTTTGAAAGGTGCCAAGCCCAGCACAGCTGACACTGATTGTTTTCAGAGACACTAACTGGCAGATGGAGTTTTCATCCTGTATTCAGGCAGCTGTCAGCTGAGGAAGCCCAGTGGGTCATTCACGAACGTCCCTCTCTCTTTTCCCTTCGGCACACAGGTGAAAGCTCTTCTGGAAGAGATGTTAGAGAAACTGATGGATGAGTTTAACATTGCAGAACTGATGGCAAAGGTGGAGGAAAGGACACCGTACGTTGTGGTTGCCTTCCAGGAATGTGAGCGCATGAACATCCTGACCAGTGAAATAAAGCGCTCTCTCAAGGAGCTGGAGCTGGGGCTGAAGGTAGGAGCTCCAGATGCTGGTGACTACAGCCTCGGGAAGACTTGACGAATGGGAAAGGTGCTCGGGGAATGAACGGGGTCACGCTCTGTACTCAGCACTGCTGGCTGCAAAACCAACTTGGCTCCGTGGGGAAGGGTTCACAGATGGATTTCAAATGGCACAGTGTCCGCAGGCCATGAGCACAGGCACTGAGCGAGGTGAAAGGTGCACAGAGCAATGACTGCTTTTGGGAACAGAGACCGAGCACTTCTGTCCAAACGATATTGCGGCACAGCAGCAATAGGCCAGTCTGAAATTGAGACGTGGCCTATTTAAAGTTGAGCCAAAAAATTACACCTTTTCACAAAATGCCCAGTTACTGAGGGGAGCTTTTAACAAAGTGTCATTAAAGGCACAAGCTGAGCTGAAATCAAACGAAAGATTGGTCACGTATAAGGACACAAAATTCCCAGAGCTATAAGAGAAAAAGCCTCAAAACTTGAGAGTTTTGAAAGAGATACAACTCCCCTTGCTGGGTATGAGTCATTTGCTAATGGAGGAGGGTCAGGAGCAGACCTTCCCTATGGAGATACTGTCCACTATTGCTCCATTCACAGTTACTTCTCCACTCTGGTAAGAAACTAGACTCTGCTCCGTGAAGGTGATGACTGTGTCCCTCTGGGTGGTAGCTTTGGCCATTTTTTATGGAGTGCAGTGAGGAGCTCTGGGGCTGGCAGGACACACCAGGTAGGATGCAAATTTCTGGGTTCAGCAAGATGTGCAAGGGGGCTGTGCTTTGAGGCTACATCCACTGGTAAGGGAAGTAAGTCATCTGCTGAATTCCCTTCCAGGCAGTTGGTGGGACAAAATCTAAAAGGCTCCTGACTACCCGTTAGGGATAGAGCCGCATAGATCAGGCTGCACTGCAAGTGAGTGAGGACCTGCCTAGCCAGCCTTGGTGCCCTGTAGCAACACCTCCCCTTCACCTTGTCATCCCAAAAGACCCTTCACCATAGCCAAGTGCTGTGCATCCCTCAGAAAGGCCTAAGCGTAGCAGAGGAATGCTGCCTGGAGCTTGCAGCACAGAGCTGGTGGCTTCAGTGCTACCCCAATGCCTTGCATCATCAACACAAAGCTGCTCCCTGGGTGATTTCATGGTGTGGGGCAGCAATTAAGGGCATCTGTCGCTGGGCATTCCCTGTTCCATCATTTCCTGAACGACACAGGTTGTCATCCCATTTGGCCAAAATGCTCAGCTCGCAAAAATGCTTTGTGTAGCGTGGTAACCATCGCACTTGAAGGAACTGCAACTACTTTGCATGAGCCCGTTAGCAGAAAGAGCTGACAGGTGAGTGAGGACCTGTCTTGAGACTGAATGATGATCCCAGCCCTCTCCTGAGGGCAGCTTTGAAGAGGGCTCTTCAAAGGACATATCTGCAGCACGCACGCAGAGGTGCTGGGACTGCCTCTGGGATTTTAGGTGGCTGCAGTCCGCAGGGATAGGACCAGGCTGCTTGTAAATCCCAGCTGCATTGTGCTGCACACTGTGAACCCAGCAGCTTGGGTCCATGCTGGCTCACTTCTGCGGTGTGTTTCCTGCTGTCTTATTGTCTTGCTCAAAAAGAGAGACATATCATATACACTTCGTGGTGTCCCAGTATGCACAATCCGTTTTAAAATGGATTTATATTTATGTAGTCAATTATTATAAGCAGATTTCTTTTATTTTCTAGCATAGGCAGTGGAAATGAAAATTCTGTTTCCTGAGACAGGTAAACAGAAGTGATTTAATGTTCCAATCCTGGAGCACTAAACAAGATATAATTGTAACTGGGACAATATACAGTGATTAGATTTAATGTGGAGAAGAATAAGCTACTTAAATTGGTCGGAGGAATGAGTGGATGCATGGGCTTAAATAAACCACGGACAAAAACTCCCACAGAAATGAGGCAATAACAGAGGGTGAAGATTTCTCCCCCAAACCCTGCCGCAAATCATGGCAGGGAAGTGAGAAGGTACCAGCAGAAAAGACACCTCTAATGATGTTGGTCTAATAGGGTGGTCCCAGTAGCCTCAGTACCTGTGATGATGCAGAGACACGACAGGGCCAGGACTTAAGGACTACTGAAGAGTGGATGGGCAGCAGTATCTATTTGTGTTAGCGTTTCTTCATCTTGTGGATGTTAAAGAGACGAGTTGGAGGAGTCTGAGAGACCACCAGTGGGCAATTCTTCTGTGCCTGCAAGCAAAGGGTTGCATGTTGGTCCCTGCAGAGCTGAACTGGATGTTGTGCATGAGCCACACCACTGCCCAGCATCCCCCAACGGGCCCTTCCTGTGCCTTGAGTACCACTTCACAGCCAGGGATGCTTGGCCCTGCTGTTGGCTCTTCCTGTAGGCAGTACATCTGTCCCGACGTGACAGCTAGGTCTCACACTCAGTTTGGGAAAGAAATAATTGTTCCTTCTGAGACCAGTTCCTATGAGAGCTGTTAATGCACGTTAATCTCTGGGATGGGAGATCGTTACTGGCAGCACTCAGAGGAGGAGAGCTTACGTAACAGGAACCATACATTTCAGAAAAGAATGAATAAAACGCGGAGGAAGCAAGTCTTATTGTTTTTAACTGACTATCTGCTAAAAGAAGGCGATTTGGAAACGTCATGCCTAATTTGAATTTTTGAATAATTCATTGTGTCTGTGTAGCGGAAAGTGATTGTTTGATCCAAAAATAGGAGACATCCCATTAAGAGGAAGAGAAATTGCAATAGACTGGTAGCCATCAAAAATAACTGGCATGTTGCATTTCAAAGCCCTTTGTTCTGGATGACTTCGGTGAGACCAGAGGCTGGGCTGAAACACTTGCATGTTAATGTTGTACCCGGAGTAATTTTTGCAAGTGGATTTTCTATTTTGCAACTTCAGTGAAGGATAAGCCTCCAAAATGAGGATAATAAATATTATAAAAGGATGAAGTGAGACCAAATTTTGTAAGGCTAGCTGGGTATTTCAAGGGAAAATAACCTTAACTGAGAAAACAATTTGTGACACTAGTCTGCTCATCTTGAGGGGGTGTCTGCAGGCTGATTAGGATTTCCTTCAAGAGTGTCTTTAATGAAAATTACTCCCAGCATTTTGGAAAAAAAAAAGTGACTTGAATCATTCTGGATGCACTTTAGTATTCAGCATCTGAAATGCAAATTTATAGATAATTGTATTTGGACAACTATATGAGATAGCTGCTATAGATCCTTTGAACCCTCACAGGAGATTCCAACAAGTACGCTTGAGTGCGCAGGCTTTAAAAATTGCTTTTCTTAAGCCTTCCTGAGAATTACATTTGCTAATTCATTTGTTTCCTGAAAATAAAACTAGACAGGATATATGATCATGAGGGTTATGTCTTTAAATCAATTTGACTGCTTGCACACATTTTGCAATATTTTTACCCACTTTAAAACCCTTCCAGGAGTGTAAAATACTTCTGATTCTGGCTATTGGAAGGCCCTGTGGTTCTCAGTGTCCTCCTGTGACCAGTGCAGTACTTCGACCCTCACACTCTTTTTTCTTCCTGCATGGTCTCACCATGGCTTTAGCCAGAGACTAGCCCATTGAATAGGTCTTCTCAGGGTCTAAGTTGTCCTGGGATGGGAGATGATGACCCATGTGGTATCAATGAAGAAGGAACCACAATGACATGTCAGAGTTCGCGTGCCGACAGAAGTTATAAAAACCAAAGCCATGGCAACTGCCCCCTGATGAGGTCAAATAATTTTGACAGCCTTGTGAAGCTCGTTACCAGACCCTCTGATCAGACACGGCCGTGCTTTTCTGTTGCGTGAGCTTTAGTTGTGGGCCAGCAAATTGTCTTAAAGTGTGTTACAGATAGAGTGAAACGGCCCCGGTGGCTAACGGGAGACGCACAGGCGTGTGCTGCCTTTGTATTTCTTTGTGAATTGATTTTCCTTACCTGGCACCGGGGGATCCCCGAAGCAGCGCCCGGGCAGAGGCACGCCAGTGGGACGCGGGCACCGCGGAGCCCCGTGCTGGAGGATCTCCAAACCTGCTGGTTTTGCCCATTTCCTGGGGATTCGCGGGGGCGTAGCTGGCCGCCAAGCTGTGGTCTTTCCCACAGCAGGGCAGGAATCTCAAGCATGTGATGAGATTGGTGGTGAAACACTGGCACAGGTTGCCCAGAGAAGCTGTGGCTGCCCCATCCCTGGAAGTGTTGAAGGCCAGGTTGGATGAGGCTTTGAGCAACCTGGTGTAGTGGAGGGTTTCCCTGCCCATGGCAGGGGGGTTGGAACTAGATGATCTTGAAGGTCCCTTCCAACCCAAACCGTTCTATGATTCTATGATTCCATGTTCCATACGGTGCTCTGAGTCTGTCACAGCCCTGTGTTATCTGGACACAGATGTTCTGCTTGTCAAACGCACAAGACTAAACATATGAGTGTGATGTATGTGTTTTTCTGCACCTCCACTGCCAGCCACTTGAGCGTGTTTACAATCCTCCTCGCCAATCTGCCATTATTTTCCCACAGCTTGGAATTGCCTGGGACTTTAAAGACCTTTTACCAGGCAACCCATTATTTTGAGATTTCTTACAAATGTAGAATCATTGAATAGAAATAATGAGATGATTTACTGGCAGAGACTCACCTGTCCCTGCTCACATGAAATGACAGAAGGTGATGTGTAATTCCAAAGGTACTTACAGTTGTTCCTCGTGTTTTAGGACTAATTGCAGATAGTCCTGCCTCCACCTTGGCATTTAATCCTGTTTACCTCTGTTAGCTTCAAGACTGTTAAAACACAAACCGTCTTAAAACCTTTGTACACATGATTTTCTCTGTCCACCAGCAATCTGTTCTCGGTGGGAAAACCCAGCAGGTTCAGATGCTTGCTGCCTTTAAAAGCCTACTACTTTTTGCAAGTCATCTTTGGAGCAGAGGTTTAATAACACCTTGTAGCAGTCAATCCTGATGAGAGGTGAACATTTCCCAGGGAGGGGGTTTCTGCACGAGAAACCACACGTCTCCGGAGAGCAGCTCAGAATGGGGATCCTCGGGCAGCAGCATGGAGGTGGCAGAAAAGTGCTCTCAGCTTTGGTTTGAGTTGGTGGGTGCTGGGGACACACATCCCTTTGAAGCACTGCCCTTGCTTATTGCCGGGCAAGATGAACATCGTCGTGGATGTTTAGAAACTTTCACAGGAAAAAAAAAAGGGGATAGAGGGGAAGATAAGCGTTGCTAAGAAGGCAGAAGTGCTAGAGCAGGCATTGCCAGTGCCTGAATTCAGCTGACACCCCTCCTCCCCGTGATAAGACAGTTGCGTTTGCAGCAGCATGATTAGCTCAGAGGGCCTCTCTTCTGATGATCAGTTTTCTTCCAAGCTCGGGAGTCTCTGGTCTCTTTGGAGTGTATTTGCTTTCAGAAAATGCTCAAGAGCGCCGGCGTGCTTGTTTGCCCTAAGTCTTGATCACTCAACACCGAGCCCGCTTTCACTTCATGGTACCAGATGCAGCATGGGCCATCAACAAGGGCTCTGGTAACTGCTCTGCCATGGTCCGGTTGTGTGTCCAGCTGTGATCTTGTCCTGCTGTAGCCTGTCCGTGCGATCTGCAGATCAGAGCTCTGCGGGGCATGACCAGCAGAGGAATATACTGCAAAGATTTTCAACTGCTGGACTCTGACAAACGTTGCTGAACACGTGTTTGGGTTGCTTTAAGCGGATTTCAACTTTTGCTAAAGCTTCGTAGATTTTTGTAGCCCCAGTAAAGGGCACCTCTGCTGACCTCATGGCTGGACGCACTGAAGCCCTGTGAAAAAACAGTTGGAATTTTTTAATGTGAATAGACTGACGCAATTCCCTCGCCCTCGTTCTCAGAAAAGGCTCAACTGATTTCAGTTAATCTTTCCAAAAACACTCAGCCTGAGGCAAAGAAAGATTGTAAGTCAGATAAATTTTGGTAAAATGATAAGAGTACAAATGTAAACATTTATAATTGAAACCAGCGATCAACATTCACTGTAAGTCTCCAGACTGCTATGGTGGGTTGTGCCCCTCTAGCTCAGCGTGGGGCTTGCAAAGATTTAAATTGTGAAGGGCATTATGTACCTGTAGGAGCTGCATCTGCATCTGCAAGTTTTTGTCTCTGCGAAATGCTTGGCTTGGGTGTCACACAATCACAGGTTAGTTGTTCTGGAGATCATCTAGTCCAACCCCATGCTCAAAGCAGGGTCAGGTAGAGCAGGTTGCCCAGGACCACGCCCTGCTGGTTGTGATAATTTCCAAGGATGGAGACTCCACAGCCTCTCTGGGTAACCTGTTCCAGTGTTCAACCACCCTCACAGTAAAAAAGTTTGTACTTGTGCGTCAGTGGAATGTCCTGTATTTTAAGTTGCTCCCATTGCCTCTTGTTGTGTCACTGGACACCATTGAGAAGAGTCTGGCTCCATCTTCTTTGCTTCCTGCCATCAGATATTTATAGATAGTGAAAAGATCCTCTCTGAGCCATCTCTTCTTGAGGCTGAGCAATCCCAGCACTGGACCCAGCATGCCAGATGTGGCCTCACCGGTGCTGAGCAGAGTGCTGCCATTGATCTGCTGGCAACGCTCCTCCTGGTGCAGCCCAGGACACTGGTGGCCTTCTTTGCTTCAGAGGCACACTGCTGACTCATGGTCAGCTTGTTGTGCACCAGGACTCCCAGGTCCTTTCCTGCAACTGCTTTCCAGGCAGTTGGTCCCCAGCATGTACTGGTGCATGGGATTATTCCTCCTCAAGTGCAAGACTCAGCTTTTCCCTCTGTTGAGCTTCATGAGGTTCCTCTCAGCTCAGTTCTCCGGCCTGTCCAGGTCCCTCTAATGGCTGCACACCCATCTTTGGGTATCATTGGTGATGCTGTGGAAGAGTGTAAGGGAGGTAATGGTCTGATGCCTGGACAAACCTCAGCAATCTTTCCACAGTGTCCCAGATCCAAATTTGCAGCATGCAGTAAATGTCCCCAAACAGCAATACAGGTTGGCAGATGAAGGCCTCTGTCCTTTGCAGCAGGGAGTCACCTACTACTGTCACTCACTGATCTCTCCTGTGCTGCTGCATGGCTCAGGCTCCATCAGCATGGATGCTTTGATGGACAGAGTTCCCAACCCCTCGTTTCCTACATGGGCACTGAACCTGTTCTGTAGCTGCAGATCTGCAGGGGGAACAGAAGCCTTGCTGCTGCTGCTGGTATCACAAGCTTCCAGCCTTCGCCATCATGGGAGTCTCCCAAGCAGATAGGCACAGACTCTGCCTGCCTGCCTTTGATGCTGTTGGGAGTTGAAGCTCCTCTTGTATCTGCAGGGTCTCAGAGAAGATCCAGTTGGTTTCTTTCTCATCATCTCTGATGCTAAACAGTCCTCCTCCTGCAGATCCTTCACTTGGTGGCACAGGTCTCCCACTGGCACACATCTCCTACAGGCAAGGAGACCGTCTCCCAGCCCCAGGATCAGTGAGAGGCTCCAGGCACTGCCTACAGTCCCAGACATCATGAGCTTGGTCCAAGCTGAGGCCTCTGCTGTGCCAGAGACAGTTGCTCCAGATGGTACCAGGGACCATGCCCCATGACACATCACCATCACTGCTAAGTAGGTGGACGCTGCCCTCAGCAGTCTGTGAGCCCCGTCTGTGTGTCCCTCTGCACAACCTGCTGCACAAACTGCTGCATGTCTTAATGGCTTCTCTTAGCTGTCCTTTCAGCATTGGTATCATCCAGGCATCTCTTACTTAGATTTAATGTAATTTCAGCTGGATACAGCAGGA